AAAAACATATTCCACACTAATATGTGGAATATGAGTGAGCTGGTGCAGCCAGTTTCATATTAGATAAAATAGACTTTAAATCAACAATGGTAAATAGAGCACTTTGACAAGTACATGTAACAACCTTAAATATATACATATCTCCTTAACACAGGAGTTCCCAGATTCATAAAGCAAATTCTATCATGTGTAGAAGTAAGCAAAGGAATAAACAGAATCAAAACTGTCAAGGATACCCCACTGACAGAACACTGAAGCAGAAAGTCAATAAAGAAACACTGGATTTATACAAGACTCTAAAACAAATGGGCCTAACAGACATTTATAAAACATTTTACCCCAAACTACTAAATACATCTGAGACATTTTCCCAGACTGGTAATATCTTAGCCCATAAACAAACTTCAACAAATTAAAAAAAAATTCATACCATGTACCTCCTCAGACCACAGTGAAATAAAACTAGAAATCACTTCCAAAAGAAACACTTAAATGTACACAGTCATGGAAATTAAACAACTTGCTGCTGAATGATCGTTGGGTTGATGATGACATTAAAATGGAAATCAAAAGACTCCTTGAACTAAATAACAAGGAAGACACAAGCTTTCGAAATCTATAGGATACAGTAAAAGCAGTTCTAAGGGGAAAATTTATAGCTTAAATGCCTACAGATCACAAATTACCAATCTAATTTCCATTTAAGGAACTAGGAAAAGAGCAAACCAAACCCAAAGCCAGCAGAAGAAAAGAAATAAAGCTTAGAGTAGAACTAAATGAAATGGAACTCCCTCAAAATTACAAAAATCAATGAAACAAAAAGCTGGTTCTGTGGAAATATAAATAAAATTTTATATCGCTAGCTAGATTAAGCAGAAATAAAAGAGAAATGACTGAAATAAGCTCATTCAGAAATGATAATGGAGACATTACAACAGATACTATAGAAAAAATAATATCCATGAATACTACCCAAACTGCTGTGAAACAAACTAGCAAAAGAAATGGACAAACTTCTGGAAGCACACAACCTTGCAAGCCCAAATCAAGAAGTATAAATCAGCTCAGCACCTGTAGCT